AACATTTTCTAATGGTAGTGTGCCTCGTGATTTTTTTCATGAAAAAAGTGTGCCTTTGCACAAAAAAGGTTGAAAAACACTGTTCTAAGGTTTGAGAAGGAGGTTGTGGCCCAAGATAAACCAGGCCTATCTTGGCTTCCAGGACTAAGGCAGGATTAGAACTGATACTCCTGACTCCTACAAGGCCTCTTTAACAACTGAATCAAACTGGCTCTTAACACTAATATTTTATTATACATCTGAATATATATTTTCACTGCCAGGCTAGGTTACTTCATCAGTGCAAGGGAGAAGAGCTTGCTGGGAGTTTTTATAGAGCAGCTTGTTCTCCTTTGTAAATTTCTTGGTTAGGATATTAATTCTTCCCCGATTATTCATTGAGTGCAATTTCCTTTTACTCTGGCTGTTGATTGCTGGGGAAATTGCGCTCTAGGCCAGGACCCTCCAACCATAGCCACTTTAAGACTTGTGGACTTCAACTCCCAGAATTCCTGGAGTTGAAGTCCAAAAGTCTTAAAAGTGGTCAAGGTTGGAGGGTCCTGGCCTAGGCTGTTGGTTTCCTTTCTAGATTTTTGCTCATTCTTAGCAGTCTTTAGGTTTATTTCTTTGAGGTGATGGGAGAAGAGCAGTGGTGGGCGTCCTCGGGTACACGCGCTGCGCACTCATGCACATGCCATCGCCCTGCGACGCCCCAGCTGCTTGGTGGAGGTTGTGCAGGGGCTGTGTGCGCGTGTGCAGTTGGCCCGTTTCCCTCAAAAAGCGGTAAGGAATGCTGGCGGGAAGGTGGGTCCAACGAGCCACCGTTCCGGTACGGTGGTCACTGCTCCCAGCTACCACCAGTACACCTGTACCGGGCCGTACCGCCCGGAACCCACCCCTGGGGAAAAAGTAAATGTGGCTGTGTGTGTGTATGTGTTGGAGGGGGGAGATAGATGTGCCTGTGTGAATACACTGTTTATATGTGTGCGTACATGTTTGTGTGCATATTAACAGAGGGTATTCTACCATCGTTATTGTTCATGGTGTACTATATTGTTGATTTGGGATTAGTGGGTTGTCAATTAACTGTCAGCGTTCTAAGTAATGCACCCATAGAAAGCAGAACTCAGAGGCAGGTAGATTCCTCAAAGAACAATTTGATTGGATACATCACATTTGGCACAACTGGAGAAAACCGACTCTGAATGTTCCTGTGGTTTTCACTTCATTAAAAGAGAAAGTTTTCCCCCTTTCCCCAGGTCATCAGTCACATGGTCCAATAGAAGTGCTGACAGTTGTTTGGTTCTTCGCTCCTCCTCTCTCAGTCACCTGTTGGAATGACCTTGGTTCCCACAGGAAAACTTTTTATTTTGACTGCAAAACCCCAGCTAACTATTTCCCTCCCACTTAGTGGCAACTCTGAAGCCTCAAAGAGGTCCCAGCCAAGTTTGCTTCAGTATTGACATCAACATTAATTGGAATAGAGATGGAAGGGTCTTTTAGTCCAGCCCCCTGCTCAAGTAGGAGATCCTATACCAGGGGTGTCAAACCTGAGTCATTGAGGGCGGGATCAGGGTTGTATTTGATCCTGGAGGGCAGGGGTGGGCGGCAAGGTGGGTGTGGCCAGCTTAATGTCATACATGTAGGGGGGGCACCTGTGGTGGCCAAGTGCTAAGGAGGACTTCCCTGAGACCCTCACTCACTCTCATTATAATCTTCCTCCCTCCCTCCCTCCCTCCCTCCCTCCCTTCTTTTTCTTTTTTCTTTCCTTCTTCATTCTCCTTTCTTCTTCCTTCCCCTCTTTCCTTATTTTTCCTTCCTTGCTGTCTTCCCATCTTCCCATTTTTTATTTGCCTTTCCTCTTTCCCTTTTTCTTTTCCTGTCCCTTCTTGCATGCTCAAATGCAAAAGGAATAGGGGAGAGATGATAGCAGCGTTCCAATATCTCAGGGGCTGCCACAAAGAAGAGGGAGTCAAACTATTCTCCAAAGCACCTTAGGGCAGGACAAGAAGCAATGGGTGGAAACTAATCAAGGAGAGAAGCAACCGAGAACTAAGGAGAAATTTCCTGACAGTTAGAACATCCTCCAGAAGTTGTGAATGCTCCAACACTGGATGTTTTTAAGAAGATGTTGGATAGCCACCTGTCTAAAGTAGTGTAGGGTTTCCTTCCTGAGCAGGGGGTTGGACTAGAAAACCTCCAAGGTCCCTTCCAACTCTGTTATTATTAAATATTTATAAAACATTGTTGAATGAATGAATTCCTCCATTCCTCATGTTTTTATATTCCCCCCTCCCCTATTTGTTTTCTTACTGGTAACGACAGGTTTCCTTCGCAATGTGGTGTCTGGGGAACACTACCGTTTCATCAGCATGTGGATGGCCAGGACTTCCTACGTTGCAGCCTTCGTCATCATGGTGATTTTTGTGAGTATTTCCCTTCTCTGTTTTTTCCTTAGCCTGAAGTGGCGTTTTTTTCTTTCCCAGAATTTTCAACCAGAAACAATGGTTTGTCTCTTACGGGCTACATTCCAGCCACAGCATAGCTCAAGGCAGCTTTGCCAGGAATGCAACATGGTTCTCCGTTCAATACAGGTAGTCCTCGACTTACGACAGTTCATTTAGTGACCGCTCAAAGTTACAACATCACTGAAAAAAGGTGCCTTATGACCATTTTTTCCACACTTAACAACCGCTACAGCACACCCCCCTGGCCATGTCATCAAAATTCAGGTGCTTGGCAACTGGCGATTCCTATTTATGACGGTTGCGGCGTCCCGAGGTCATGAGATCACCTTTTGAGATCTTCTGACCAGCAATGTCAACAGGGAATACAGATTCACTTAACAACTCCTGTTACTAATTTAGCAAGTGCACTTAACGAATATCTCACCTAACAGAAATTTGGGACTCAGTTGTGATCATGTCAAGGACTACCCATATACTGTATTTTTCGTAGTATAAGGCGCACCAAGATTTTGAAGAAGTAAGTTAAAAAAAAAGCTTTTGCACTCTGCAGACCTCCCAAACCCTCTGCACGCCTCATTTTTTGTGAAAAACGGCATGCAGAGAGTTTGAGATGCTGTTCCCCCCCCCCAAAAAAAGGGAATGCATAATCTTTAGGAGGCTTGTAGCGTTCTGGGGGCTGAGGGGGCAAAAATGAGCAAAAAACAGCCCGTTTTTTGCTCATTTTTGCCCTCCCCAGCCCTTAGGAGCACTTTGCAGGCCTCCCAAGCCCTCTGCACGTCCATTTTTGCGAAGGGGGCAGAGTTTCGGGAGGCCAAAAATGCTGTATTCAGTATATAAGATGCACCCAGATTTTCACCCTCTTTTTTTAGGGGGGGGGGAAGGTGCATCTTATACTCTGAAAAATACGGTAATGATACCCAGGTAGTCCTTGACTTATAACTGTTTGTTTAAGCGACCATTCAGAGTTACAGTGGCATTGACTTACAGCTTGGCCCAACTTGGCTTAACAGCTGTGCTATTCATTTAACTCACATTTAATTCACACTTACATCCCCAGGGATTGCAGCTGGTTCATATTTATGATGGTTGCAGCGTCCAAGGGGTCATGCGATCACTTTTTGTGACCTTCTGACAAGGAAAGTCAATGGGGTAGCCAGATTTACTTAACAACCGTGTCAACTTAACAACTGCAGTGATTCACTTAACAACTTTGGCACAAAAGGTTGAAAATAGAGTAAAATTCGCTGAACAGCAAAAACGTTGGGCTCAGTTGTTGTAAGTTGAGAACTACCTGTATCGGGATTGACCTTAAGTTGGACATTCTTAACCACGATTGTCTATAAATCAATTACTGCGATTAGAAAACGCTTCTCTGCATGGAACTCTGCCCACTATCCTTTAGTTCAGGAGTGGGGAACGATGGCCCTTTGGTGCCTTGTGGACTTCATGCTGGTTCAGGAATTCTGGGAGTTGAAGTTCACAAGTCATAAAGGAGCCAGCGTTCCCCACCTTTCCTTTAGTTTTGCCAGCTGCACTTTTATTCACTGTGCTTCTTCTAAGTGCCTTGTAAGCCTCTGGTTCTTATCAGCAGTGAGGTGATAGAATGTTTTGCAGATGTCTAGCATTTACAGTTACACAACCATAACGCTGTAACATGGCAGATGATAAAAGTAATCAAAGGTTTTGGCTGCCTTTCTCGATGCAGAATTATCAAGAAGAAAACAAAAGGTGTTTTAACTTCTAAGGAACAACATTACGTGATTTGTGATCTAACAAGAAAAAACAAACCCCAGGGAAATGTTCAGGGCTTTATCAGATGTGAGATGATGAAGACAGTTTCCAAAGTGTTTGTTAAAAAATATGGAAAGAAATAAAGCAAGACCTTGAAAGGTGCAAGAACTGAAGATTTTCCTGGCTAGGGCTTACCACAATTGTACTGTAAAAATGAATATATTGCCCGAGATATTTAAATCGATGCATGAGTTAAAATCCTAGTTGTGAGAAGGCTGATTGCCTGCAAAATGGCTAGCACCTGAACTGACGGTGCCCTGTCCCTTTAAGAGTTCTCCTTAGCCAGTCCAGCAACCTGTGTTTATAAAAGCTGAGCAGAGAGACAGTTGGATGTGATGGTATTGGGAGAGTGGCAGTAAGATGGAAGATGGCTTCTGTTAGTTTGAGAAACTGAAGCAGCCTTAGGCGAATTTATTGTTACTGTTCTCAGGAAATAGGACTCACAAAGAGATGTAGTAGTGCAGGATTTCATTGAGGGCCACATCAGGGTTGCGTTTGACCCCAGGGGCTGGGGTGGGCATGGCCAGCCTGAAGTCACAAAGAGATGTAATGGTGCAGGGGTGTCAAACTCGATTTCATTGAGGGCCACATCAGGGTTGCGTTTGACCTCAGGGGCTAGGATGGGCGTGGCCAGCCTGAAGTCACTCGTGTCGGGGTGTCTGTGGTGGCCCAAGTGCTCTGCCGGTGAAAACGGGCTCCAGAGCTCCATTTTCAGCTGCGACAGCCACCTGCCACCCTCTGCCAGTGAAAATGGAGCTTGGGAAGGCTAGGTGCAGCCCTCCCAGGCTCCATTTTCGGCATGCAACTCCCCTCCCCAAGCTCCATTTTCACTGGCAGAGGGCAGTCAAAAACAGAGCCTGGAAAAGCTGCATGTGGCCCTACCGAGCTCTGTTTTCACTGGCAAAGGCACCGCGGGCCGATCCTTTGCTGTTTCTAGGGTGGCCCCGTGAGCTAGATCTAAGCCCCCCACAGGCTGGATTCAGGCTCCAGGCCCTGATTTTGACACCGTAGTAGTGGAAGCACAGCAGTTGAAGCAGAGTGGGGAAAGAGTAGGGAAAGAGAACAGGCCCTTGAGGGGTTGGGCTGAGTTTTCTGGAATTTTGGAGCCCTCTAACCTGGCTAGACATAAAAGAGCCTGTGACAAAATGACACCAATTTGAGTCTCAGACAAACAATTTGCAAGGCTGGCAAAGAACAGTTTTTCTGAGGATAACCACCCATCTTTGTCAACACGCTAAGAACAAAACTTTGGAGTGGTCAAGCGAATTGTGCTTTTGGTTTTAATTCTGGGCAAATTAATTTTCATCCCAGAGAGCGATTTTCAACTCTCAGAATCTATGAGAACGCTTTCCCGCTTTTTTGTGCTTGGCCTTGGGGCTTTCATGCTTTAATCCTTACCTGCCTGTCTCTTTTCAGACTCTGTCCGTCTCCATGCTGTTGCGTTACTCACACCACCAAATCTTCGTTTTTATTGGTAAGTTTTAAATAAAATCATTGCTGTGAGTTTTTGCTGTGAGAATTCTGGGAGTTGAAGTCCACAAGTCTTAACGTTGCCAAGTTTTGGGGACCCCTGGCTTAGAATGAGCATGATGGTGAGTTGTGAGCTGTGGTGGCGCAATGGTTAGCATGCAGAATTGCAGGCTGACTCTGCTCACTGCCAGGAGTTTGATCCCGACTGAGCTCAAGGTTGACTCAGCCTTCCATCCTTCCGAGGTGGATAAAATGAGGACCCATGTTGTTGGGGGGGGGGCAATGTGCTGACTCTGTCAACCTCTTAGAGAGAGGTATAAAGCGCCGTAAAGCGGTATATAAGTCTAAGCGCTATTGCTGTTGCTTTGATGAGAGCACTGAGAAGCTGCAAATTATGGGGTGGGGTTCAGTGTTTTGACTGCAGTTTTTAATATAAGGAGGAACTTATTTCAATTTATTCCATGCCATTAATGTGATTATTCTGAGTACAGGAGTAATAGTGCTAGGTACAGTGGATACATTTAATTTTAATTCAGTGTTAAATGGAAACCGTTCCATTGGCTATTCCGCATGCCAGGCAAAGATTTAGAATAGCTATCAACCTTGAAAACCTGCACATCCTTGGTTTAAACACTGCTATGGTCCATTTGCATCCTAATCCATGTTAAATAACTGCTCCCCGGTATGCTGCTTGCCATCATTCATTTTAATGTGCAGTCTTGAATAGCACGGCCAAGAAATATTTTGTTACTTGTTCATCCTTGAATGAATCATCATTTTGGCATCCTGATATTAGATAGCAGCTGGCTGTTTCTATTGGCTGGAACCCTCTTTAGTGATGGAAATTTAATTTTCTAGCACGGAATAAGGTTCCATTGGACCAAGCGCCTCGGCCCTTAGCAGCAGCATTACTGCGCCTGATGTTTATAAGCAGTCCTTTATACAGATAGTCCCCGACTTACAACCATTATTGGGGTTAGAGGTGGCGCAGTGGTTAGAGTGCAGTACTGCAGGCCACTTCAGCTGACTGCTAGATCAGCAGTTCAGCGGTTCTAATCTCACCGGCTCAAGGTTGACTCAGCCTTCCATC